CAAAAAGGGACCCCCCCCCCCCCCAAAAAAAAAGGGAGACTCTCAATATTAAGGGGACCCCAAAACTGGGACCCCCAAATTTATGGGGTGACCCCGAAATTTGGGATCTTGGCATGGGGTGACCCCAATGGGGAGTGGGACCCTGAAATTGGGGACCCCAATATCAGGGGAGTCCTCGATTTGGGGGGGATCCCACCATGAGGGGGACCCCGACATGAGGGGGGGTCCAAGGCACGGTGCACCCCAAAACAAGGGGGGCGCAATGCACAGGAGACCCCAACACGGGGGGACCCCAAAACGGGGAGACCCCAAAAGGGGGGAACCCCAAAACAAGGGGGGACCCCAAACCAAACGAGGGGACCCCAAACCAAGGGGGCAGCGATGCACAAGGAGCTGTATCTGAAACATGTAGCCCGCAGAGGATTTTTTTGGGGTTCAAGGATTTTTTGGGGGGTCCAGGAGGCCTCAGGGGGTTTTGGGGTGCCCTCCTTGACCCCCCTGTGCCCCCCAAGTCCTCTCAGGGTGGGGGACACCGGACGCTGCTCTATGGCCACGCCATCCTGCTGCGACACTCCCACAGCGGCATGGTGAGTCTGGGGGGGCTCTCAGGGGGCCCTCAGGGGTTTGGGGGGGCACTCAGGGTTTTGGGGGGCTCGGGGGGGTTTTGGGGTCCCCCCATGACCGCGTGTCCCCCCAGTACCTGAGCTGCCTGACCACCTCGCGCTCGGTCACCGACAAGCTGGCCTTCGACGTGGGGCTGCAGAAGGACGCGGCAGGTAAAGGGGGCACCCCGAGGGTTCCTGGGGTCCCCCCGGGTGTGGTTTTGGGGTGTTTTAGGGTGTTTTGGGGTCCCCCCCGCGGATTTTGGGGCGCTGATGGGGGTGTGCCCCCAGGTGAGGCGTGCTGGTGGACGATGCACCCGGCGTCCAAGCAGCGCTCGGAGGGGGAGAAGGTTCGGGTGGGAGACGACCTGATCCTGGTCAGCGTGTCCTCGGAGAGATACCTGGTGAGACTGGGGACACCGGGGACACCTGGGGACACCTGGGACACCTGGGACACCTGGGGACACCTGGGACACCTGGGGACACCTGGGGACACTGGGGACAGCTGGGACACCTGGGGACACCTGGGGACATGGGGACACGGGGATCCCCACACGCCCTGACCTGATCCTGGTCAGCGTGTCCTCGGAGAGATACCTGGTGAGACCGGGGACACCGGGGACACCTGGGGACACCTGGGACACCTGGGGACACCTGGGACACCTGGGGACACCTGGGACACCTGGGGACACCTGGGACACCTGGGGACACCTGGGGACATGGGGACACGGGGATCCCCACACGCCCTGACCTGATCCTGGTCAGCGTGTCCTCGGAGAGATACCTGGTGAGACCGGGGACACCGGGGACACCTGGGGACACCTGGGACACCTGGGGACACGAGGGGTTGGGGGAGACATGGGGACACGGGGCCCTGAGCTGATCCTGGTCAGCGTGTCCTCCGGGGCCCTGAGCTGATCCTGGTCAGCGTGTCCTCTGAGAGATACCTGGTGAGACATGGGGACACTGGGGACAGCTGGGGACACCTGGGACAGCTGGGGACACCTGGGACACCTGGGGACAGCTGGGACACCTGGGGACACCTGGGACACCTGGGGACACGAGGGGATGGGGGGAGACATGGGGACACGGGGCCCTGAGCTGATCCTGGTCAGCGTGTCCTCGGAGAGACACCTGGTGAGACTGGGGACACCGGGGAACACGTGTCCCACCCGTGTCCCACCCGTGTCCCACGTGTGTCCCCCCTGTCCAGCACCTCTCCACGGCGTCCGGGGAGCTGCAGGTGGACGCGTCCTTCATGCAGACCCTGTGGAACATGAACCCCATCTGCTCGGGCTCCGAGGAAGGTGGGGCACCCCGAATTCGGGTGGGAGGGTTTTGGGGGGTTTGGAGAGCTCTGAGATGGGACTGTGGGGGGTCTTTGGGGTATTTGGGGTGTCTTTGGGGTCCCCAAAATGTGCTGGGGTGGCAGTGGGGGGGCTTTGGGAGGATTTCAGGGAGTTTCAGGGGTTTTTGAGAGCTCTGAGATGGGTCTTTGGGGGGGTCTTTGGGGGGTCTTTGGGGTTTAGGAGGATCTTTGGGGTCTTTGGGGTTCCCAAAATTGCCAGGGTGGGAAATG